GGCAAATGACATAATTTGTAAAAGTCTACTTGATTTTCAAAAGTTAATTTTGACTTGAAACTGTAGTAATGACCGCAGGCAATTGTAAAAACTTGTGGCCCTTTATCCTAACCAAAATGGCAAGTAAACCCCTAAAGTAAGAATCTAGATGGAGGAAAAAAAAACCCAAAAAACAAACCAAGCCGCTTGTCTGGTAATATTCACTGAATTTTCTCTTTAGTTTTATGATATTTTCCTGTAAAACATGGTATATTTTCACGCTCCTGAGAAACATGGAAATAATTGCAAGTTATTTGGAAAACGAAAAATTTAAGACCAAGTTATTTTGCAACTCCTTTGGGCTACATTAAGTACGTATTACATGGAAACTTAAACGTGTTGTGGCCAAATAGGATATTAAAGTCACAGCATTAACTGCACAATCCAAATAAGTTTAACCATATATGAACCATATTTATCATGTTTTTCATCTTTTATTTATGTATTTATTTGGGATAAATATTTTCTACACCCCACCAACACACTTCACTTGACCAAGACTTCCAGTTACTTCAAATATTGAGATGTACACTGTACACCGTGTAAACCAGCAATCGCTAGGCGTCAGTAGGAGTTTGAATTTGAATATTAGGTTTAATAAGTATATGAAATGCCTAAGAAAAGTCTACATGACTTCAAATCCTGACCACAAATATTTTTCTTTTTTTCTTCTATCTTTAAGATACTAATAAGAAGTCCTGATATTTAAGAAGAAAATGCAGAAGAAAATTAAAGTCATGAAATTGAACTCAAATTGCCATATCTAAGAAAGCAGAGCAAACCACAGTGAGAACATATTAATCTAAAGCACTTTCCCTGTCAATGACTACATTAACATTTCACTTTTAAAAGCTGAATTAAAGAGGTTACATGATTGATAACATAGCTTTAGAAGTTATTTTTAAAGCTAGCATTCTAAAATCAGCACAAGGGACTATATTTGCACAACTCACTGTTTTATGAAGGTTTAACAAAATCCTTTGCCGCTCCAGTAATTTTCTTAACAAAGGAAAACGGTCCTCCCTGGTCCTCAATAACTGGATGAGGTGTTTATGTTTTCTATTACGTAAATGATTCACGTTCACTGGCAACTAAGTAATATAGGCAAACACCTGACTTACACAGCTTGGTTATAGTACGCAGCTAGTTGACTACCTGCCATATATATATACACCCATATAACTAATCTAACTGTTCAGATGTGCCTAGTCCGACAGATAAATTATAAAAAACTATTTAATTTGGCCAAATTTTTGGTGAAGACAAAATTCAAATACTTCAATAAAGACAACTATAACTTGAGTAAACACATGCTTACATAATACATCGTGTTTTTCCACAGCTACTAGCATAATACGCCCTTAATATGTTCACTCTGTTTCACAAAGGACAAAATAAATCCCCATCAATAAAGGATTAAAAATGGCGCAGGTCAATTCCTGTTAACTTTAGCAAATATCAATCAACACTTTGCCAAAAATAATAAAAAAACCCTTTCCAATACACTGTGCATGTTTCCGTTTCAATTTTAAAGCCCTTCTGCAGATTCCAGCCTGAAATATGATGCTAAGATAACGTCTAAAGTTGTCGTTAGATGAAAATTTATCTTGGTTCTTTTTATGGCTTCAAGGAAGAAACTGTAATGGACGTACACCTTATTCATATTTATTAACTTCTTAAGAAAGCAACGCTTACATCTTATGATTTGTATAATTTGACCGTTATTGGTCTCTCCAGCAAATTTCTGTAAAATGTGCCACTAACACAGTCTTCTAATAAAATTAATGAACGGCAACATAAACACTGTAAAAGAAATAAAGAAATCTTTGTTTGTTTGTTTATTTTTTAGATCTACCACATAAAACATCAAGTTAGCACTACTAAACTATATTAAACCATACATTTTAATAAAAGTAAGTAAAAGTATTGGGGGGGCACTCCACAGATACTTAAGAGAATATTAAGATGCTGTAAAGAGAAAACTGTTTCTTTTAAAAATAGCAACACTACCAAAGTAAGATGTTCTGCTTATATTTTAGAGAGCACTGTGCAATTAAAATTCCAACCACACAAAACCCCTAAATCCAAGTCTAAATACGAATCCCATCCTCACTTAAGTTCTTGGAATTTCAGTCACAAATTTTAATTAGAGTAGGATTTCACCCACAGGAAATTGGTATTTTCAAATCCACGTATTTTAAAGGACAATTTTCACAATTAAATGTATATTAGTTAATTTGTATGCAATTTAAGTATGCATATCCAAGTACACCCAGTATGTCACAAATATATTTAAATTAGTGTCTCATGAGTGTTGGCCATACTGTGCCATCAGTGAAGTTTTTGCATTTCATCAGGGATCTCTATTTAAAGACTCATGATACAGTGCAGTCATTTTATCACATTTTGCATCCATTTACTTGAGATGCATCTTCAACTAAAACACATTCATTTTTAAGAGAAAGATCACACGACTAACATTATCCAAAAAATAACAGATCTGTAATGCTTATTGAAACAACGAAGACTATGTCTTTAATGGCTTATTAGCACCCATATTGTTAAAAATCCTAAAATCAGCTCTTCCTTCTTTCAAAAGAAGGGTAATATTTGTCCTGTTTTAGAACATGCCAAAATTTACCCCAGAGACATCACCTAAGCACTGCCTAGGTCAGCAATTTTTCCTTTAGAACTATTTTTAAGTACAGATGATAGAATAGCAAGTCCTGAATGTATACTATTAAATACTGCGTTGCTTTCCCTGGTTCAGAAGGCTAAGGCCTTCCATATACTAGGTATTAATTAGAGAATCAGTCATGCTTAGAAAAGGATGCATAACTGCTTACTCTCCACATATGTATTTTTATACTTGTACTTATTTAAAAATACTACATGGGTCAAAAGGTATTTCAGCTGGGAACGTAATTTTACTTTAAGTTATCATTGACTTGAATTGGAGTGGATCAAGCCCTGAAGCATAATTCTGTTTTCAGTCTCTCTCTTACATATCTTCCTCGAAAGAAACATCACATTAAGCCAACAAAAATTTTTAAAATTATGTAGTCAAACTACAGATTTTACAAACATTAAGCCTATGATTTAGGCAGAGAAGAAAGCAGAAGGAAATAGGTGAAAGGGACAGCTAAAATATGCCTACTTCTAAACCAGCACTAGATTTTTCTTTTTTCTTTTTCTAAGCTTATAACAACTTTTCCTGTTTTAATTAAGGCTATTATTTCACATCATTTCAAATAACGTGACAGTATTATTCAGAAATCCTACTTAATTCAAAAAACAAAGTTATTCATTGTTTAATTTTAAAGCAAAATGGATTTTGACTCCAGACCTAAAACGAGATATTACTTGCTTCAGAGTTCACAAGGTCCCTTCCATTCTTCTTCCCCTCAAAGAAGAATAAGTTCTTCCATTTTATAAATATCAAATAGTCAAATTTGCACAGATGTAGTCAACTTCTGTGAAGAATAATCTTTGTAAAAAGACTAAGCTAAAATATTAATAGCTATAGCCCTACTGAAAATCTACTTCAGTTTTCTTTCACCCCAGACCTTCAGAAAAACAGATGTACTAGACAGGATTGAAAAGGATATAAGTCAGTATGTATTTTACCCAAACAAATATGGGTCAAAATTCAAGAAAAAAAAATATAATAAGCAACACATGCCCCAGAACTCAAAAACACATACAGGTCAAATATTTCATGACAAGCTCAATTCCCATTTCTAAAAAGAGTTGCTCATTTTCCCTAACTTACATATACCAATTCAGCAATTATGCAATATGTGGGTGTACCTTACAGTCGTTTTCCTAACATCTGCAGTCTGTGTTAAATTCTAACTGTACAAGATGTCTGATATATATATTTTTTTGTTTTGAACCTTCAAAGTGGTAGGTTTACCAGAGGCAAAACCACACACCAGAGAATATGAGTCATATAATAAAGAAACATCTCTTCCCCTTCTCCCCCTTCTACCCTGAAGCGATAACAACCTAAAGACACTCTATTGTAAATGGCTTCCTTAGTAATATCGATGGCACGAGCAACTCATAAACATTTAGTCAATGAATGAAGATATTTATATTCCTTATTGTATCCATAACAAATTGCTCTTGATACCATTTTAAGGCCAATTAAAAATTATGTTACTACAAAAATTAAATTCTTAATAATAATCAGAACGTCTATGCACTTGCTTTCATGTCAAGCATAAAAAATAAAACATACTATGCATGTTTCTGTAAATGATAACATAAAAAGATCAAAATAATCAAATGTAGAATGCCTGTGCAAGTTAAATGCACATAAGGTCTCTAAGCTGACTACAAAACAGTAACCTCAACACAGAAATCATTAATTTTCTAATGAGTCCATATCAAAAGATGGCAACATTCACAAACGACTAAAATCCTGCTCATGCCAACTGCATAGTAGAACTACAATAAATAAAGGAGGAAGCAAGGCACCTTACTTCACCATTGTTTACATGAGTTTCCCCTATGAAATGTATTAGGCATGGAAAACACTACAGGAGTCACTCTACCCTTTTACTTCCTTTTATACCCTTGTATATAGGTAGACTATAACTTCTTAGATTGCCATCCTGCATCTAATTACATGTAGGAAAACAGCCTTCAGATAAAGTCTTTTCTGAAGGGTCAGTATGTATAATCATATCAGAAATTTTTAAGAGAGGGACTGAAAGATAGAAAAACCAGTATTTACAAACACCAGCCAATAAATTAGTAACAACAAAACTCAGCAACGCTAAAACAGGTGCAACCGCCACAGTCTTATAAGAAAGTTAACCTTCTGGCAAAGCTTGCACAAAGCTCTTCCCAAAAGCATCTTCCAAAAAGTTAAAAAAAAAAAAATTTTCACTGATCAAAGTGAGAGCTATGCATTCCCCCTTAAAATAGAATAACATAATAGTTTCTATTCTTACCTGTGTATAGTCAAAGTCAGAAAGAGGAGCTATACTCTTGATGTAGTCCATTCGAAATTGGTTTTCTGGATTGGCCAATGGAACTGGGGGTATTAAAGTGCTCATAGCTGAAACTATAGTCTAGAATTGGATAAAACAAAAACAAGCACATTAATCTGGATAAATCTAAGATACAGGATCAATAGAAGATAATCCAATCTCATCAGCAAAATAGGATTTCTCTCTATACAATCTTAGCACAATCCTTATCATTTCCAGTACACTTGAGCATTTAAGGACAGTATAAAGTATGTTCTTACCACAATCGCATCTTTAACATTTTTCCGAATATCCAGTATTTTCTGCTTCTTTTCTCTGCATTAAAACAGAAATATTAACACTTTGATTTTTTCCTTCAAAGCAGTTCAGTCAGCTGCATTACAATTTTTTTGTTTTTACAGACTGCTTATTTATCTGCTCTCCAATCATTAAGACATACTAACCGAAAAAAACCAGTAAGATGAATACATTTTTCCTCTTATCCCTTCTTTCATGTACTATGAAGAGCAATACACATTCACCCTCAATATATTTTTAAATAGCCACATCTGCAAAGCCTTTCCTGATAGAACTTGAAGCCATTCCTTCATTTCTACAGCATGCACTATTGTGCAATTTAGTGCAATTTAGGCATGCACTAAATTGATAATAAATAGTAGAAAGGCAACAGATGTCTAAAATTAACACTATAGATTAATAATACATTCAGGCAGAGTTCTTCTGAGAGAAATGATGTAGCCCCAGAATTCAGAATGATTTCTAACAAACGTTCAAAATTAGTTTCAGTTTTACATTAACCCCAATACCGGAAAAAGAGCAGCCACTGTCATCCTGAATATGACTTGACAAGTATTTTTGTATTACAGACAGATGCAATATTTAGTTATTTGCTTCTATGTAAAAAGTAGTCGCCATGTTGTTGCTACAGAGGGGCCTGTCAAGTGCTGCAGTAGCAACAGTGTAAAAATACAGTAAAGGGGCCAGAAGGAGAAAACGCAAATGTACAATAGCAGTAATTTCCTTATTCTCTCTCCCTTCTCCCCTCCCTCCCCCAAAACGCAGTGTCAAGCCACCAAAACGCAGAGGGCATGAAGAGCAGAAATTCCCTCGTGTATCGTGTTTCAAACCGGTTTCAAACATTTAATGAAAAATAAGTCACAAAGTGTCAATAATTCTTACTCTGAATTAAATCCATTGACATGTAGGATTCTCATTTGTTTCACAATAGTGCTTTTTCCTGACTCACCGGCCCCTAGAAGAGAAAGAATGAAAGGCAGAACATTGTGATATATGGTTCAGGCTTTGTTTTTTTTTTTTATTTTCCCTCTCCCCATTTTTTTGGGCACGGTATGATAGCATCTCCCACCTCCGGCAGCCTTTCTGTATGTATGCATCCATGTGGCTCAGGCGCTGAGCTCAATCTGGGGACGCTTCCCATATTGCTCAATAAAGCAGCCTACATTTTTCATATCTAATGCACGCAGCTCACACGTCTAGCTTCTCCATTACACCCGCTCGCCAAGGGTAGCTCGGGCTCATGCCCCCTCGCCTGCTCCCCTTCCCCCCCACCTCTGCCCCCCTCCTTCTTACCCAGCAGAAGCAAGCGATGTGTCGCTTTATAAGCCAGTCTCTCTTTCTGCAACTGCTTCTCTATTTTTTTGTTGGCTTCTCGCTGCGCTTTCTCATCGATACGCTGATCCTCCGTTTTGCTGTTGCCCAAACACCCCATAGCTGCTGCTTAGGATGGATGTCAAATTGTTGTCTTTGTGTATTTAGTATTTACAAGGGGGAGGGGGAAACGCAGAAGGTAAGTCTTTATATCCTTATATCCCTGCGACGGTTCCTCTTCTCTTCTTCCCCCCCCCGGTTGCTCAAATAAAATGGTCTCTAGCCGCGTTCTGATCAAAACAGAGTTTGTTTGTTTTTTTTCCTCAGAAGAGATGCAAAGAGCAGCCGGCAGAGGTAATCGTTCCCCAGCAGGGAGGGGGTGGGGGGAAAAAGCTGTACAAAAATGTCTAACATGCAACGAGAGCGAGCGAAGGGCTCCTCCTGGAAACCAGCCTAACGCTGCTCTCCTCTCTCCCTCCCCACCACACACACAATCCCTATATTTCTCTGTAAAGGTCTATTTTTGTCTTTCTAACTCAGCACTGCCTCTTTCTGCGAGACCAGGAAACAGTCAAAACTACAAACCCTCCAGCCAGCGAAGAGAAAGGAAAAAGGTAAAAGCTGAATCTACCTGGGCCGTGCGGGATCGCCGGGGCGGCGGCGGCGGCGGCGAGGCTGGG